TGGATACCACCCACTATACATACATATGAGCTTGTTGGACATGCCATTCCAAAGCCATGGGGATTCATATGGAGTTGCGCCCCTTGCAGCTATGACTCTCTTCTGGGGAGGCTTTCTGCAACATTTTGTAGTGAGTCTGTGGGAATTTGTGCCCATTCAGTCAAAAGAGCATCTGTGAGATCAGGCACTGATGTTGGGCGAGAAGGTCAGGCTCACAGTCAACGTTCCAATTCTTCCATTGCTCAATAAAAGCACTTACAGTTGACTGGGGCACATCTAGCAGGATAGAAATCCTGTGACAGTGCCATGTTTAAAGTCACTGAGCTCCTCAGAATGACCCATTCTACTGCCAGTGTTTGTCTGTACCACTGTGGTCCACTAGGGGGCCAAGGCCCACAGATAGAAAACCACTGGTCCAGTCTATACTGTTTTAACATCCAGATTTAAATAATAACGCAAGCTAAATGAGCTAGCTAGCAAATCACTATTGTTAGCTAACAGAACAGTTTTTTTTTTCCTGCAAAAATTTTCCGCATGTAATGTGTTCTACATACATGCAACACATATCTACATGCTTAATTGTACTTTTTTCAGGGGACAATTCAACCATGCTAACTTACATTACAGCCATGGGCCAAAGGCAGGCTTGTTGTTCGTTGTTCAGTGTTGATGAGCACACCATTGCCCCCTTCTTTGAGCTGTTTCTTCACAACGTGTTGGGTTGGTTTAAAAATTTCCCACTCAGTTTGTTCCCACCCTAATAAGTCTACATTGCCAATGTAGGTGAATGTAGCAGTAGGAGTCAAAGATTCTTATTGGTAAAGCATGGTGGGCTAGCCCAAGCAGGGAATCAAACCCACCTGGCAGATCAGGGTCTGATTCTCTACATGGTGGGCCCAAACAGGGAATCTGACCCTAGTCTGCTACGTTATGCCAGCTCCAAGTCAAATAGAGATTACCATGCCATGGTATGTCCATGGTAATCTAACATATCCTGCAGATACAGCAGACACAGCAGGTTGATAAACACTGAACACTTCCTTTAAAATGATATATAGCATTATTGCCCAAACTGAGAAACTTAGAGCTGCCATTGCCTCTCATGTTAAAAACACTAAATAGAGCAATATGTCTGATAATGACAGTGTCAGTAATAGACTGCAATGGATTACAGTCATCAGACCATCTGTTCCTGCATGGAAGAGGGACAGAAATTTCAGCTGCTCCAATCATTATCAATCACATGGTCTGTCATGTGGATAAACAATGCTCTAGTGGCACTTCAGAGAGAGAGACAGAGACAGAGAGTGTGGGGGAGGTGAGTTCATGGTTATTTTTAGGGGAAACCTAGAGGTGTATAAACACATAACAGTACGTGACTCTCTCAATAACACTTTATTCTGCCCATTATTGTGTCTTTTATGACTGAGTGGGCTAAAGACCTTCTAAAAACGCCAGACCTCCCTCTGTGAGTGAGTGAGAGACAGACAGACAGAGAGAGAGAGAGAGAGAGGAAGAGAGAGAGAGAGAGAGAGAGAGAGAGAGAGAGAGAGAGAGAGAGAGAGAAAGAGAAAGAGTGTTTAGGAGGTTATGTAACTTAATGAAACTCCCACTAATGAGATGGCGCAGTCCCAAAACAGGGACTCTGTTCTGCCCCTGTTCTGAGAGAGAGAGACAGAGAGAGAGAGAGAGGGAGAGAGAGAGAGAGAGAGAGAGAGAGAGAGAGAGAGAGAGAGAGAGAGAGAAAGAGACAGACAAACAGACAGACAGGCAGAAAGTTTAATAAGTGTGGGCAGCTGGATGAGAGGAGACTGAATGGAGGTTGGTCAGGGACACACACTGAACAGTACGTCCTCACACTATTACACTGCATATGTGTGCGTTAGATAGATAGATAGATAGATAGATAGATAGATAGATAGATAGATAGATAGATAGATAGATAGATAGACAGACACAGTAAGTGCATCCTCACACAATTACACTGTGTATAGGCTAGATATGTAGATACCTTGACATATAGACAGACAGTACATCACACTTTTAAACTGTACATAGGCTAGATAAATATACAGAGAGACAGACAGACAATACATCACACTGTTACACTGTACATACGATACACAGATACACAGACAGGCAGTACATTACATCATTACACTATACAGAGGAGATTTTGACAGTTCATCCAGAAGAGCATTTGTGAGGTCAGATACTGATGTTGGACAAGAGGGCCTGGCTTACAGTCTCTGTTCTAGTTCATCCCAAATGTGTTTGATGGGGTTGAGGTCAGGGCTCTGTATGGGCCAGTCAAGTTCTTCCACACCAAACTCACCCAGCCATGCCTTTATGGACCTTGCTTTGTGCACTGGGGCTCAGTCATGCTGGAACAGAAAAGGGTCTTCCTCAAACTGTTCCCACAAAGTTAGAAGCACACAGTTTTCCAAAATGTATTGGTCGGCCGAAGCATTAAGATTTCCCTTCACTGGAACTAATGGGTCTATACCAACCCCTGAAAAACAACCCCGTAGCATTATCCCTCCTCCACCAAACTTTACAGCTGGCACAAGGCAGTCAGACAGGTAACGTTCTCCTGGCATTCAACAAATCCAGACTCTTCCATCAGACTGCCAGACAGTTCCACTGCTCCAGAGCACAGGTGGTTCCCCTTGGGGTTTGGAATTGTACATTTGGATCTTAGGCTTGTGTGTAGCTGCTCGGCCATAGAAACACATTCCACGAAGCTCCTGACGTGCAGTTCTTTTGCTGATGTTGCTTCCAGGGTCAATTTGGAACTCTTTAGTGAGTGACTCTACAGAGGATAGGCACTGTGCTCTTTAGGACTTGGTGGCCCCACTCTGTGAGTTTGTGTGGTGTGCCACTTTATGGCTAGGCTGTTGTTGCTCCTAGATGCTTCCATTTCACAATAATAGCACTTACAGTTGACAGGGGCAGATCTAGCAGGACAGTAATTTCACAAACTGACTTGTGGCAGAGGCGACACTTTCTACTGCTAGTGTTTGTCTATCGGGACTGCATGGCTATGTGCTTAATTTAATCCAACTGTTAGCAATAAGTGTGGCTGAAACACCTGAACTCAACAATTAGGAGGGTGTCCGAATAATTTTGTCTATAGATAGATAGATAGATAGATAGATAGATAGATAGAGTTCTATGAAGAAGTATTTGCCCCTTCCAATTTTTTTTATATTTACACACTTTAATGTTTCAGATCATCAAACTACTTTTAAGATTAGACAAAGATAACGCAAATAAACACAAAGTGTTGTTTTTAAATGATGATTTTTGTTTAGCCCTACCTGGCCCTATGTGAAAAAAGTAATTACCCACTTAGCTACTAAATCAACCAGTTAACCAAATTCAGTTAACTATTGGATTCAATTTCACTAGCCACACCCAGACATGATTGCTGCTAATCATATCACTTACATAGAACCTGTCTTTCAATGAGAAGCAGGCTAGAAGTTTTCAAAAAGCAGCACATGATGCCAAGAGACTCAAATACAGATGCGAGTCACTGAAATCTGCCAGTATGCAAAGGGTTACAAAGTCATTGCTAAGGCTCTGGGACTCCAGTGAACCACAGTGAGAGCCATTATCCACAATTGGAAAAAACTTGGAACAGTGGTAAATCTTCCCAGGAGTGGCCGACCTACCAAAATTTCACACTGGGCAAAAATGGCATCCATGGGAGTTGTAAGGCACAAACTACTGCTGACTAAAAGAACACAAAGACCTGTCTCACATTTGCAAAGGTGTAACTATTTGGAAGACATGGGTTCCGTTACATCTTTTGAAAAGCTAAACTGCATTCCACCATAAGAACATCATATTGACAGTCAAACATGGAGGTAATGGTCTGGGGCTGCTACATGAGTATGATGGTCTGGGGCTGCTTTGCTTCTGTAGGACCTGGACAGCTTGTCATAACTGATGGAACCATGAATTCTGCTCTGATAATCCTGAAGGAGAATGTCCGCCTGTCAGTTTGTGACCTAAAGCTCAAGCACAGTTGTTATGCAGCAGGACAATGATCCAAAGCACACAAGCAAACAAACCTCTGAATGACTCAAAAGAAAAGAAGGTTTTGGAGTGGCCGAGTCAAAGTCCTGACTTGAATCCCATTGAGATGCTGTGGTGAGACCTTAAATAAGCAGTTTATGCTCAAAAACCCTCCAATGTTGCCGAATTAAAATAATTATGCAAAGCGTCCGCCAAAATTCCTCCACAGCTATATAAAAGACTCATCGCAAATGATTGCAAATGTTCGATTGCAGTTGCCAAGGGTGGCACAGCCAGTTATTAGGTTTAGAGGGCAATTACTTTTTCACATGGGTGATATACGTTTTGAATAAATCTTTATCTTCAGTAAATGGAATGATCATTTAAAATGTGTTCACTCGTGTTGTCTTTATCTTATATTAAAATTAGTTGAATGATCTGAAACATTTAAAGGTGTCAAATTAGCAAAAATAGAATTAATCGGGTGAGGGGCAAATACTTTTTCATAGCACTGTAGATAGATGGTTGATAGACACACAGTGTGTGTGTGTGTGTGTGTGTGTGTGTGTGTATTGGTGTGTTTTGCCTATAGGTGTGCGTGTATATATATGAATGTGTATATATGCCTATGTGTGTGTGTGCGTGTGTGTGTGTGTGTGTGTGTGTGCGTGTCTGTCTCCTTTATCGTCTCTCTCGCTCTCAAAACATCCCTCTCTGTTCCTCACTCAGCCCGTAGAGCGCGTGCTGCATTCCCGAGCCCGCCCAACGGCCAATCAGCGCTGGAGGGCGACCTCGCCGACCAATCCCGCCTTCTCTGTTGCGTACAGCGCTTATTTGCATGCGAAGCCTCGCCTTTTCGCTTTAAGAGCGCGCGCAGCGCTTTAAATAGCAGGTGTTTAAAGTCGTGCTCGCGAGGTGTCTCAGTGTTGTCCTTCAGATTCTCACATAGAGACACTCGGAAACCGGTTTTTTCTCCAATGTCAGCCACCAGCACTGAAACCTCCGCTCCTCTCCCGCCCTCCGCCGGCCGGGTCTTCTTCCAGGCGGCGCCCGGGGTAGGGTGCGCGGCCAACGGCCACATGCAGCGGGACGACCCGGTGCAGAAGAAGCAGGGCAAAGTGACGGTGAAGTACGACCGCAAAGAGCTGCGCAAGAGGCTCATTCTGGAGGAGTGGATCATCGAGCAGTTGAGCGAGCTTTACGACTGCGAGGTGAGGAATGATACGCTGGAGCTGGAGAAGCTGAAGTTGGCTTCTTTTTTCCTTTTTCCCCAGCTACTTCTTGGAATTTCACGTTCCACCTTAAATAACGCGGCAGTTATATTGTGGCGCCGGTAGACGCCAGAATGTGACTGCACTGTTTAAGGTGGAACGGGAAAATTCGAATAGGAGGCCAATTTCAGCCTCGTCTGGGCATTACACAAAGACATTTGGTGCTGTAAGCGGTTACTTCTGTGTGTGTGTTCTCCTCCTCCAGGGCTACACAGTTAGCTGTGCGAGTGTGTTTTGGTTCCTTTGGTTCAGATGTGCTGATGCTTATGACTGACCTACATTTTGTCTGGTCTATTCTGCGGCGCTTTTACGCAGAGCTCTGTCAGTTCTGGCACTGTTACATGAACCTGACATGATTAAGTGCGTTTTGTAGGTACATGGTTTGGCTTTTAAGGTGCTGGCTGGATAGAAATGACCCTTCTGTCTGAGGTTTTTAGGACTGAGAGAAGAGCTTTTCCTGCGCATACTGGTCCCTAACTGTAGCAGCGTTTGCCAAGTCCTCCTGGGGTTATTCCACAAAGCAAGAGTTCTCCATTAGCTTATAACTGAAGCCTAAAGTCAAGGTTACCCAATAGGATAAGAAGGTGCGCTTATTGCTGACAAAGGCCGTCACATAGATGGTATAACCTCCATAGAAAAGCGTTGTCAATAGAATGGGATCAGCTACACATGAACCTGGGGTTAACATGCTCAATTCCAAATGCTAAGCGTTAGCTAAAGGGGTATAAAGCCCGCTCTCCACGGGGCTGTGGAGCAGTGGAACTGTGTTCTCTGTAGTGATGGAGCTCTGTCCAGTACATTTAGGATGACTTGGTGATCCTAGACTAATCAAACATGACCTCACTAATGCTCTTGTGGCTGAATACACTTAATGCAAAATCAGTGCCATCCCTATTAATACTTTTGATTTCAGAAGAGTCTTAGGATGAGAAACTTACTGGGCTACATTATTATTGGACTTGAATTATCCGGTTTGCTGAGAATAACGTTATATGTGAGAACATATTAGATGCAGAGGGGCTTTTATTCGACGGCAGGGTCACATCAGGTTTGGTCATCAGCTGCTTTGCGACACTGGACCTGAGCAAGTTCTCCAGCGTTGAGCTGAACTGAGGTTTGTTTTGTCTCCTCTTGATGTTATCAGGTCTTTGGGTTTTATGGTGAATTACTCCGCTCCTGTTTAGACGCGGTGAGTCGTGTGTTGGGGGGATGGGGGGAGCGGAGGGGCGCAAGATGCTGATTTTTCCAGCTTTCTCTCTCTCTCAGCCAATCAGAGCGCAGCGCGCTGACCCCCTTTTAGCGGATCTCCTCAGCAGACGCGCTCGCGGCACCCGTCTGATTTCATGCGCGTGAGCGTCCATAGGCTTGACGGGCAGTGTGTGTGTGTGTGTGTGTGTGTGTGTGTGTGTGTGTGTGTGGAGCTTAGTGGTCACCAGATGTCCTCAGGGTGATGGAAAGCATGACGGCTGCGAGGACAGCCAAGATGAAAAATTCAAAATTCTGGTGTGTTTGTGTATGTATGTATGTATGTATGTATGTATGTTGTATGTATGTATGTGTTTAAAAATGCAAGTTTATATCAAATGGCTGCCATTAGTTATAGTTTAAAGTATATTCATTAGCTAAAGTTACATAGGAGTAAGTGAAAATACCCCACAAAGATAGAAATACAAACCTTGTAAACTGTACCATAGTAAAGTGTGGTTTAAAGTGGACAGTGCTGTTTTGAATGGGCTGGGGTCAATTAGGGTAATGGGACATTAATGTAATGCACCATCATAAGCTGCTTATCAGTTTATTCTTTTTTTAGCAATTGTTTCTGCCACAATATTTAATTCTTTTTAAAAATAGTCTTAAAAGACAAGCAGTAACTTTCTCACTTTTGTGTCTATGGGTGGCATTTATTCAAGTGATTTTATTTAGGGAGTTAATTTAAACTCTGGCAACGTTATTGTGTACTATCCATACATTAGTTAAAATCAAAGCTCAAATTCTTTACGCTTACTTGGTTATAGGTGGTTGTCCCACATACATTAGTGGGCTTGTGGTTTAATTACATAAAGTCGACCCCCACTGTCAGTGTTTGCGCAGGTGCCTCTGAGACCACACATCACATACAGCAGGATGTCGCACATCTAAACGGTGGTTAACAGCTGTTAACCGCAACTGAGAAGAAAAGCCACAGTAAATCAGATGAGCATGTCAACAACAAATAAATACGACTAGCATAGCAGCCTAAATGGTGCGCAGTCATTTCATCATTAAGTGGTTAGTACAGTGCTGGGTGTAACTAACCAAGAAACTAAAGAAATGAATTAGTCAAAATGATCAGTAGATGTTCAGAAGAATTTCATGTAGCAAGGAAAATACTGCTAGTTGGTGGCTACTAGCCTTCCATTCATTGTAAGTCACGTTAGCATGTTTGGACTAAACCTTTAAAACATTTAAATTAGTGGCCTGATGAAAAGTGGTACTTCAGGACTGAAGGTTTTGGAAGTTGTATGAGTTTCTGGCCTTGGACTGTAAGTGGCAGATGTGTGCGAATTTTTCAGGCTAGTTGTGAAAATCTCAGGTTTCAGTTAGCAAGTAGGCCTTCTGAGACACCTGATAATGTGGGGTTTTCATGAGGCCTACTGTGTCCTATGGTCCAAGGTAAAAGGCTCCAGAGCTGACTGTTCAATACTATTAAAGCAATAATTTGGCCAATAATCAAATTTACAATTTCCTCCTTTACACTGATAGTTGGTAAGACATGTTTGGTGGTGTTTGCTTTTTTTAGTATTGTTCAGACAAAGTTCAGCCTTCAAGATGGCTGTCATTGTTCTTTACTATGCAGATGTTGTATAGAAAAATGTTTTTGTCTATACAAAAATACATTGCTTAGTATATCCTATAAACAACTGTCATCATGTCAGAAACCCGTAAGCAATGCTATATGTGAAGTATTTTCAAATCATCACTAATGGAGAGAATGGATTACTCAAATGACAGAAATGGCCTGTCCGATGAAGAGGACAGCAAGCTAAAGGCTAACGTTTGCAAGTTAGCTACCTGGCTAACTAGACCACTTACCTTTGGCTCCTGATTTCTGGCTACAAGGGTAAAAAAAGAGAATGTCTGGTGTCCATTCTGTGCTGAATAAAAATAAAACAAGAGAACCTGTAGGGAGGAGAATTACCACTCTGCAATGTCTTACGGTTTTTTCAAACGCTAGAGGGCGCTCCTGAGTGAGTCTAAAATGAATGGGTCCATATGGATATGTTGCTGCACTACCAAATACCGTACAAGTAACACATAATAACTTGACACGTGTTAGACTGTAATGTCCCTTTAACAGACTGGCAGTTTGAGGTGTGTGATAATTTAGCTATGCTGTTTGATGCTAATGGGTGTTGTAGAAGCTTCCGTTACTTGTTAGGTACATTAGCCTTGTAGCTCCATTGCAAAATTATGGAAGCAAACTTTGGCTGATTGGCTGCCCATAGGGTAAGGGAAAGTTGTGTTTCGCCAGAACGGTCACCAAGTGATTTACTGTTATGTGGGGTTTGTTTTTATTGGGTTAAACCAGCGATTACAGAATTTCACTCATCTCCACTGGATGGATGACCAGGCCTCTATTTTACACTGTATACAGTGTATGTAGAAGTGCGGCACCGTGTGGGCCCCAGTGACTATTTCTGACTCCTTCAGACTCTGATATGTCAGCTGAGCTTGCTGTTTGACATCAGGGCCATGACCTTGTCCTCTGTCTGCCACTGCGAAAGCTAGCAAAAGCAACCATGACCACTATTAAATGATTGACAGCAGAGTAGGACAAAGCAAGGCGAATGTAGAGAGGAGCAAGAGACAAGATACAGCAGGAGAGAGGAAGCTCAGCAATGGTGCTTGCAGTGGGTTGGAGAAGAGTGAGAATGCCCTGGGAATCGAGTAAAAAAGCGTGAAATAAAGAAGGAGAAGAAAGGAGAGCAGGGGGGACATGCTAGCTCTTCTGGGAAATATATCTACTTCTGCATGATGTAAACCAGTGTTATTTGTATGTTAATGCACAGACATTCACTTCTTGGAGAGACTGGAGGTGCATTTGTGTGAGTGTTCTTACATTACATAATCATTTGTTAGACAATGATGTATTTCCCCCCCTCATTCTCGGTGCTGCATCAGCAGTCTCGCCTGTGTTAGCAGGGAGAGAGGGTGAGAAAATGGAGTAAAAGCACACAAGAGGGATGAACAAGGCTTGTGGAAATTAGAGAGAAGGACGTTTGGAATGTAAAGAAGGTGAAATGGGACACAGAGGATTAGTCTTTTTTAAAGGAATATGCTAGCGTTTTTCTCATCTCTATCTGCCACACCGTTAGCATGCAAGAATAAAGTAGGGAAGGCAGAGATGACACAGCTGTGGCACTAACTAGGCTATCTACTCTGGCTGATGTTAGCTATGTTCAGAAATAGTCTCTAGCACTCTTCCATGTTGCCACATCATCCACTGAAGAGAAAATACCTCATAAAAGAAAATGAGTGTATCAGCATCCACTGTTTTAACAGTTACCTCTGTTAGCTGGTTAGCTATCTGAATAGGCAGCCGCTGTTAGTCACTTAAATAATAAAACCTGTTTTCAAATGTGTTCCTCTGGGTGCGGCTAAATTCGTCGACATTAACGTTTGCCTGGGACAAGTGAAAGTTTGTGTGGGACAAGTGGATGATGAATTTAAAAACACAAGGTAAAACTAACAAACAGGCTAACAAATTCTTTTACAAAACAAAAAGGAATGTGTTGTGAGAGAACTGAACACTTTGCGAACGCCAATTTTAGCATATACTTTAAATGTTTAGGTTTCCCAGCAGAGTAGCCTACCGAGGAGTGTGTAGTTGTTACAAACAGTGAATACATTTATATGTTCATCAGATATGATGGCTTCATTTTAGCTGCAGTAGTTCGAAT